AGACGTAGATGTGCCAGATGATATATAAATATAAATGTGATAATATTGTTGTTGTATTTTTTGTAATGTGGTATGTATTTTTTGTTCCCATTGTCCTTATTCCCCCAAAATTTTTGTATGTATTTTTGTTGTTGTTTGGCTGGAAAAGTGTAAGTGTATTGTAAAGCTTCGGCTTTAAGTGAAGCCGAACCTTTTTTTCAAGGGGGAGGTGTTGTGTATGGGCGTCAGCCCTTAAAGTGTTTAGTATAAAAGCCCAGCCAATAGTTAGTTCGGTCTCCCAGTTTTAGTTCTTCTGCCTACCTTTGCCTACTTAGTATTTCTTTGTGCAATAAACGTTTCTGTTAGCTTCTCTACGTAAGCGGGGTCGTAACATGTTGGATAAACATAAATAAATGTATAAGGTGAACAATCTGGGAAAACATGTGAAGAGGTGAATTAATATCTAGTGGGAAGGGATAGGGAAGATTAAAGGTGGTGAAACAATAATATATAGAAGAAATGTGTGGAAATAATAGAGCGATTTGTGTTGATAATTTGGGGGTTAAGGGGTTTGGAGGTGGATGACACTCAAGTTCCTGACAATTTGGAGGTAAAATCTGTGCAAAATGAAAATATTTATCGGAAGTTGAACCCCGAAATTAAATCTTAGAAATTTTTTAAGAAATTATTTACGAATAAAAAAATTTATTTTTAATTTTAAATCGGTCGATAAAAGACGTTCTAGCGCGCCATATCTGAAAAAGCTATAACGCCAAAATCGCCCAATAATGGATGCCAAAACTCCAAAATGCGATCCCTGATGTCGATTTCGACGTTTACCGGAAAGTGCATTCTGGGTTCAGGTGTTGCGGTTTCATAAAGATTTATAAATTAAAATTCCTGAGAAGAAACATCAAAAATGGTGGAAATATAAAAAAAAAATTATAAAAACTTTTACAAAAATTTATATCATTATGAAAGCTTTTAAAGGTCATTTCGTCTGAAAATTTATTCAAGGATACGAACAAGGATACGAAAGGGGCAAGAGTACGAAACGACCAAGGATACGAAATGGGGATACAAAAATCTAAAAAAAATAAACAAATTAGAGGGCAGAAAGGGTTGAAGTGAAGGAAAGAGAGGAGAGAAAGATAAAAAGCGCTGCACTTACATTAATGCCTGCCAAGACTTAATTCATGTGATTTAAATTGGATGAGTGTCCGTCGATGAAGGTACATTTCACGGAAAATCGCCAGATATTTTACAGAATAGATTATGAAATTGTTTGTAAACTGTTGTTCTAGCTTTAAATCTAAAAGATTTGTAAAGAAACTAAAAATGAAACTCGGTGAGTATAAAACGGAACAGGGCACACAAGTCGGATTCTTTAATTAAAAGACTGATAGATATATATCGCAACTGTATTAAAACATTTGATCGAGTTTATGTACGAAAAGTCTAGGTCCGTTGACTTATTTGTTTTGGGACTAGACTTTGAAGATGTGCGGAGCCAGAATAGTCTAGGTCCGTATTATGGGTCCACCGAAGCCAGAACCAGAACTAATATTTTGAAAACCCCAGAGCCGGGGCCAGGCTTTCGAAAGCCACGAGGTTGAGCCTGAGCGAAGGTTTGAAAAAGTTCGAGCTAGAACCAACAAATGCACGATACCGAGCACTGCTTATAACTGTAATGGCTCCACATATAATGCCAAATAGCAGAACAAATTTAATCTTAAAGATTCTCCAGAATATTTGTGATAAATAATGTTAACTGAAGTTTCTTCCTCCATCAAGTAAATGTTTCAGAATAATGTTAAGTAAACATTAAAAAAGTCGAAAAATAAAATATTTGGTGAAATGTCCTCTTAACTCAATTTAATGCAATGGAGGGGAGGGAGAGAGAAAGAGACTTATTCACTGCCACTTATTCAGCCTTTTAAAATTTCCCTTTATAAACAGGCCAAAATTGTTGACAGAATCACTCGTTAAATTTTAATATAAATTGGGAAATTAAGTGAAGGCGTCAATAAATATTATAGCTACTTTAATGGCATCCAAAACTCAGCTTTATTAAATAATTTATTCAACAATTTTAGCTTTACATAAATAAAAATATGTTTAATTAACTTAAAAAGCTAATAATAATCAAATACATTTATGTATAAATTCCTGAAGTATTTTTTAAAAGGACACCTTAGTGAAGGAACTAACTTCTGACTCTTTCGAATCCCCCGATATCCCGCATTTTTATCAAATATTTGAATCAATTTTTTAAAATTTAAATTATGTATTTAATTTAAATTGTTTTTTAAATAGTCCTCACGGAACATACCATCTCTGACAAAAGATTTAAGGGAATTTCTACTAGGGCTTTATTCGCTTCGCTTCGTGCCTTCGGCCCTCGCCCCTACATTTGGATGGGCATTTTTTTTAATTGTCAGCTATTCAATTCATTACCATTTTTTTTTAAATTTAGAAATTAATATTTATTTTATTTCTCTTCAAAGAAGACAATTAACTAAAACAAAATTTAAAAATCTTCAATTTGAAGAATGAAGATTTTTAGTTTCTTTTTATTTTATTTGATATTTCTTCTCCAATGTAAATTTGTTGAAGGAATGAGAGGACAAAGAGACCGTTTGTTTTAATTTTAAAAATATATATGTACCTCAATTTAAAAATCTGCAGAAATATTAGAGATACAAGAGGTTTTATTTTAGTGTTTCACCTAAACCGATTTGTAAAAGGAGCCGGAACTTCCGGTGAAACTCTATCTTCTTTGGCTTCCAAGGTTCTCAAAAATTTCCAATCTAAAATGTGTGGATTGTGGAGCGGTTCCGAAAAATAGTCGTCTATGGATCTGTAGCCCAGACACACTCTATGTCATTTACTTGCGTTGCTAGCGTTTTGATCTGTGTTTATTAAAATTGTCTCTTGATCCCAACCCTGTTTAAGAACAGAAAATTAATTTACCAAACTTTTTTATTATTACTTAAAAATATATACATAATTTCCTACTAAAGGTCAAAAATAACGATTGAGCGCACTTATCTAGATGTAACTTTTTGTATGGTGATCTGATCAAATCAATCCTGTTGGTTAAAATAATCCTCTCATCCATAGCTTTGAATTTATAAAAGATTTATTAGAATTTGTTGAAAATTCCAAAATGTTATGCCCAAAATATGTCTTTGGGCTCAGCTTGCATGGTTCATGATCCCCTGCCCCGCTTAAACAAGAAATCACGCGGAAATTATTGGTTCTTATGAAAATGTTCTTTGGTAACAAACATATTTCAACCTATATTACCATCTTAAGCAACCTATTTTGGTGTTGATTTAAGTGTTTTAAATCTAAAAGTCAAAATAAATTATGAGTTATTTAAATAATATTAATTTAATTATTAATTTAAGATGCTTGATTATTGTAGAAAGAGTAGTTTTATTGGAACACGAAAAAATGACAAAGGAAGTGCAAGTGGTCATGGCGGTGGATTTTCCCATGGCACAGGACACGGTCGTGTTCATGGTGGAGAACAACATTATGGCACAGAACATGGAGGTGATTATGGTGGATACCACGGAAATTACTGAGGAAAATATTGACTAAACATGTCATTCGAAATTTCCAAGAATTGTTTATTTGAATCAGAATTGCCAGATTTGCATTTTCTTGGTTAACCTAATTCTGGTTAATCATGTTGAGATTAAATGTTTGGGAAAGGGTAGCCTATATGCGAAGAAATCTTTACACATTCTATATAAATTATCGTTTATCAACCTATGTAGTGAGGCAAATATGGGGTGTGACGAATTCCGTTTAAAGACTGAGAGGCAAATCATAATTTAAGAGCTCCAAGTTGTATATTCACGAAAAAAAATGTTTAAAAATCTGGCAAAAATTTAAATGAGAAAATAGAAATTGATATTTTAAATGGGTGAGGGGCAGAACAAGGAATGACAATACACTGATCAGACAAAAAAGGTTTACCAAATCACGGAATGAACAGAGCACGGTCCAGAGAAATAATTCATTCTTGTTTAAAAATCACAATATTTTCAAAAATAAAAATGCAGATTTTATCTCTGGACCGTGTTTTGGTCATTGAACGATTAATCGTTTGTTTTATGGTAAGACCGTGTTTTGTCTTCTCCGTGTTTTAGCCTGACACGTTTTAAGTAACAAGTAATGCTTTTACAAAGTTAAAATATCATTGTTTCTATTTCAAATTTAAATTTTCTGAACAAGTCCATTCATTTAAAAAACCTCCAGTACATTACTGGTATTTAAAGTGTTCAATGAGGCCGATTTAGCGGTCTTGGTAGGAAACACTAAATGTAGTTTTAAGCTTTATTTTCTGATATTTATCATTAAATTGTTTGTTTTTTTATTAAACAAATGTCGATAAATTGAAGAAAATTGTGTTTTTAATTTTATTAATCTATCGAAGAAATTCAATTGAGTCCTCGTATATATGTAGTAACTCTGCCTCAGTGAAATCTTTTCCGAAGGACACGTTCATCGGACGTCACTGGTCAGGTCGTTTGACCTACCTAGAAAGGGATAGGAAGGACAAAATGAAGACTGAATGCCAATGAGATTATGGGGAGTCGAAGGAGTTCTAATTCTAGCCTAAAGGGTTTAATCATTTACACATTTAAGTCTAATTGATTATGTTTATTTAATTTAAGTCGAAATATAATATAAGGTGAATAAATGCACGAAAATGAAATAAAAGTGAAGCACGAATTAAATTTAAAATATTATATAGCAAGAAGGGTTAATCTAAAAACATTATTAATTCCCAATCCTAAAGAACGCAATCCCAACTGTGTGATACAGAAATGAGACTGAGACGGTTTGTTCACTTCCAGCGTTGTTTATGTAGTTGTAGTTAAATGGGGCGTTACAATGGTTAATGGGAAGGTGGGTATGTTGTGTTGTGTATGGGCGTCAGCCCTTAAAGTGATTAGTATAAAAGCCCAGCTAAAAAGAAGTTGTTGAATGAAGATATTCGGAATATGAATATTAATGAAGAAAAAGTGTCGAGTGAAAGTAGTGTAACTTCTTCAAGTGATAGCAGTGTGGACAACTCCAAGAGGATCAAGTCAAAAATGAAGGACACAAGTGGGAACAAGCCAAAGATGAAAAATGTTGAAGACGATAATAATATGGAGACGTAGATGTGCCAGATGATATATAAATATAAATGTGATAATATTGTTGTTGTATTTTTTTTTGTAATGTTGTATGTATTTTTTGTTCCCATTGTCCTTATTCCCCCAAAATTTTTGTATGTATTTTTGTTGTTGTTTGGCTGGAAAAGTGTAAGTGTATTGTAAAGCTTCGGCTTTAAGTGAAGCCGAACCTTTTTTTCAAGGGGGGAGGTGTTGTGTATGGGCGTCAGCCCTTAAAGTGTTTAGTATAAAAGCCCAACCAATAGTTAGTTCGGTCTCCCAGTTTTAGTTCTTCTGCCTACCTTTGCCTACTTAGTATTTCTTTGTGCAATAAACGTTTCTGTTAGCTTCTCTACGTAAGCGGGGTCGTAACATGTTGGATAAACATAAATAAATGTATAAGGTGAACAATCTGGGAAAACATGTGAAGAGGTGAATTAATATCTAGTGGGAAGGGATAGGGAAGATTAAAGGTGGTGAAACAATAATATATAGAAGAAATGTGTGGAAATAATAGAGCGATTTGTGTTGATAATTTGGGGGTTAAGGGGTTTGGAGGTGGATGACACTCAAGTTCCTGACAATTTGGAGGTAAAATCTTATGGAAATCAAAATTTAACGCCAAATGTGCAAAATGAAAATATTTATCGGAAGTTGAACCCCGAAATTAAATCTTAGAAATTTTTTAAGAAATTATTTACGAATAAAAAATTTATTTTTAATTTTAAATCGGTCGATAAAGGACGTTCTAGCGCGCCATATCTGAAAAACGCTATAACGCCAAAATCGGCCAATAATGGATGCCAAAACTCAAAATGCGATCCCTGATGTCGATTTCGACGTTTACCGGAGAGTGAATTCTGGGTTCAGGTGTTGCGGTTTCATAAAGATTTATAAATTAAAATTCCTGAGAAGAAAGATCAAAAATGGTGGAAATATAGAAAAAAATTATAAAAACTTTTACAAAAATTTATGCCATTATGAAAGCTTTTAAAGGTCATTTCAACTGAAAATTTATTCAAGGATACGAACAAGGATACGAAAGGGGCAAGAGTACGAAACGACCAAGGATACGAAATGGGGATACAAAAATTTAAAAAAATAAACAAATTAGAGGGGGGTTGAAGTGAAGGAAAGAGAGAAGAGAAAGATAAAAAGCGCTGCACTTACATTAATGCCTGCCAAGACTTAATTCATGTGATTTAAATTGATGAAGTGTCCGTCGATGAAGATACATTTGACGGAATATGTATCGCTGGATATTTTACAGAATAGATTATGAAATTGTTTGTAAACATTTGTTCTAGCTCTAAATCTGAAAGATTTGTAAAGAATCTAAAAATGAAACTCGCTGAACATGAAACGGAAAGACCCACAAGTCGAATTATTTAAGTAAAAGACCAGCAGGATATTGTGGGTTGAGGAAATAGTCGCAACGGTTCATCCGATCAAATTTATGTTCGAAACAGTCCAGGCCCGTTGACTTACTTGTTTTTACTTGATTTAGATGTGCTTATATACAGTGCTAAGTATGACCCAGAAGCCAAGCTAACGCAGAGCCAATGCTAAGATTCTGAAAACCCCGGAGCCTGAGCAGAAATTTGAAAGCACCGAAGAGAGGTTTGCAAGTTTCTATTATGTCAAATATTCAGCAATTTTCCGTGAAATGTACCTTCATCGATGGACACTCATCAACGTAAAATCACATGAAATAGCTTGGCAATCCATTAATTAATGAAAGTGCAACGCATCCTCTTCTCTCTCCCCCCTTTTGTTTCTCTTCAACCCTTTCTGTCTCTCCGAGTTGTTTACATGGAGAAGTGATGGGCAAATTTTATTTTGCTTAGCTCTTTCGTCCCCTTTTTCGTATCCTTGTTTAGGTACGAAACAGAAAAAATTTTCACCAGAAAATTTACCGGCAGTAACTTAGAAAATATTGGCTGGAGATATTGGGAGATTTGGAGTGATCTCGATATCACTCCCCCACTCATCCCAATAATTTGGGGGTGGGGATCTCGATAAAGGACGCGATAAAAAAGATAATCATCTCTATTTTGATAGTAAAAGTCTTAACTTTAATCTTTATTGATAACCGAGCTTCATTGTAACAAATATTGTTTTTATCTAATTTATAAATTTGTTTTAAAATCCTATGTGTAAAAAAATCCATGATATCCTCCTAAATTCCCAGATAATTATTCGAAATACTTAAACCATAAAAATCTTCCGAAATAAAATTAATCAATTCCCATAAATCGCTGCAAATCACCCTTAATTCTTATTAATTCTCAAATCTCTCAATATCCCCCCCCTCTCATCCCCCAAATTATTTCAAATCCACTTAATCACTCCAAATCCCCCAATATCTCCAGCCAATATTTTCTTAAGTTACTGGCGGTAAACTTTACTGAAAATTTTTTCTGTTTCGTACCTAAACAAGGATACGAAAAAGGGGACGAAAGAGCTAGGCATTTGCCCATCACTTCTCCATGTAAACAACTCGGAGAGACACAAAGGGTTGAAGAGAAACATAAGGGGAGAGAGAGAAGAGGATGCGTTGCACTTTCATTAATTAGTGTCTTGCCTAGCTAATTCATGTGATTTTATGTGGATGAGTGTCCGTCGATGAAGGTACATTTCACGGAAAATTGCTTGATATTTTGCTGACCTGTTGTTCTAGCTGTAAATATGTATAAGATTTGTAAACAATCTAAAAATGAAACTCGCTGAGCATAAAACGTAACAGGTCGGATTCTTTAATTAAAAGACTGATTGATATATATCGCGACTGTATTAAAACATTTGATCGAGTTTATGTACGAAAAGTCTAGGTCCGTTGACTTATTTGTTTTGGGACTAGACTTTGAAGATGTGCGGAGCCAGAATAGTCTAGGTCCGTATTATGGGTCCACCGAAGCCAGAACCAGAACTAATATTTTGAAAACCCCAGAGCCGGGGCCAGGCTTTCGAAAGCCACGAGGTTGAGCCTGAGCGAAGGTTTGAAAAAGTTTGAATCAGAACCAACAAATGCACGATACCAAGCACTGCTTATAACTGTAATGGCTCCATATAATGCCAAATAGCGGAACAAATTTAATTTTAAAGATTCTCCAGAATATTTGTGATAAATAATGTTAATTGATGTTATTTCCTCCATCAATTCTGAATAATGTTAGGTAAACATTAAAAAATTCGAAGAATCAAATATTTGGTGAAATGTCCTCTTAACTCAATTTTTTGTAATGGAGGGGAGGGAGAGAAAGAGACTTATTCACTGCCACTTATTCAGCCTTTTAAAATTTCCCTTTATAAACAGGCCAAAATGGTTGACAGAATCACTCGTTAAATTTTAATATAAATTGGGAAATTAAGTGAAAGCGCCAATAAATATTATAGCTACATTAATGGCATCCAAAACTCAGCTTTATTAAATAATTTATTCAACAATTTTAGCTTTACATAAATAAAAATATGTTTAATTAGCTTAAAAAGCTAATAATAATCAAATACATTTATAAATTCCTCAAGTATTTTTTAAAAAGGACAACTTAGTGAAAGGAAATAATCTCTGACTCTTCCTAATCTCCCGATATCCCGCAGACGGAACATATCTCTGACATAAGATCAAAGGAAATTCTAAATAGGGCTTTATTCGCTTCGCTTCGGGCCTTCGGCCCTCGCCCTTAGATTTGGATGGGCATTTTTTAAAATGTCAGCTATTCAATTCATTACCATTTTTTTTTAAATTTAGAAATTAATATTTATTTTATTTCTCTCCAAAGGAAAGAATTAACTAAAACAAAATTTAAAAATCTTCAATTTGAACAATGAGGATTTTTATTCTCCTTTTCTTTTTATTTTATTTGATATTTCTTCTCCAATGTAAATTTGTTGAAGGAATGAAAGGACAAAGAGCCAGTTTGTTTTAATTTTAAAAATATATGTGTATATTCGGACCTCAATTTAAAAATCTGCAGAAATATTAGAGATACAAGATGTTTTATTTTAGTGTTTCACCTAAACCGATTTGTAAACCGGAGCCGGAACTTCCGGTGAAACTCTGTCTTCTTTGGCTTCCAAGTTTCTCAAAATTACAAATGCTAAGCCATTAGGCCATTAAATGCTAAGCCAAATGGGTAGTGGAGCGGTTTCGTTTCGGCTATGGATCTGTAGCCCAGACACACTCTATAACATTTACTTGGGTTGTCATAGAGTGTGTCTGATCTGCATTTATTGAAATTGTCTCTTTACCCCAACCATGGTTAAGACCAGAAAATTAATTTACCAAAAATTTTTTATTATTACTTAAAAATATATAATTCCTAATATTTTAGATAAAAAAGGAAAGGCTGTAATGGGAAGTTCTTCAAGAAGTCAGCAAATAGCAAACGTTGTTACTCAACCGATCGAATTTGCGCTCCCAGAACTTACCTTTTTGATTGAAATATTGAAAAAAATTAAAGACGACGATTTAACTTCTGAAAAAAGTTTTATCGAAATTTTTAGCCAATATACAACTTTTAACGAATATAATGTTGAAACTGAATATGATGAAGAATTTGGTGAAGAAATTAGAGTTAATTATAATATGGAAAATCAACCCGTGACAAAAGAAAAAATAGAAAAGGTGAATGGAACCCATAACTTTTCTTAAATAATCCTCGGGGAATTTTTAAACCCCTCGTTGATGTGAAATCTGGAGTCTCTTTACAACTTTAATAAAAATTCAATAAAAATTTTAATTTAAAGGTAATTGAGTTTTACACAAAAAAGATTCTTGATGAATATAATATGAATGTTGGCCATTATTACATGAAATCATCACTTAATGTGTATCTTCTAGCCTTTGCCCGAAAGCTCATCCGTTCTTTTTTTGATTTTCATGGCGAAAACAAGTACTATGACAATCATGTTGCAACGTATATTTTATTTAAATCCCATAAAGTATTATATTGGTTTTTGGATTAATTACCTAATTAACTTTAGTCAAAAACATTTCCATTATTCTAATAATTTTTTAGTTTCATAAACAAGAAAAATAAAGTTTCAATTAGACAATATTTGGAAGCTTATGACCTTTTTGAGGTTT